CTATACGCCAGGTCATTGAGAAGAAACATTCTCAGTTGATCCTTTCAGGCATATGTAGCAGCATGGGCCACCAGAGGATCTGTTGCCTCTGGTTGTTTTAAATAATTTGAGAAAGGAAGAATTTCTGCCTTGCAGCAGGAAGGGCTTATTTCCTGTCACAGTAAGCTCTCTAGTGACAGCTGTGTCTAGCTCAGGTTCTGGCATCTTAAATCAGCAAAGTTCTCAGCTTCCTTCAGATCCATCAGGTGGTCAGAACTGACAGAAGTTCTTTGATGTTCTACAGATTTATTGCAACATTTTTCATAATGTAAAGAATAGTGTTGAGGAATGGCACCTCCACACAGCCTTTCCACCAAACTTCTCTTGCCATTTTGTACTTCCAAGTACTTGTAAACTATAAAAATAAAAATGAAGAATAAATGTGAGTTCCTTCTACTGGACTCAGCAGTTTATTATTGCAGCATATGAATTATTTTCTGTTAATTAATCCCCTAAATTCTTTATGTGCTTAGCTATGTGTTGGTTTGATAGAGTATCCCTTTCTTTTTTGCATTTGATACAATTAAAGTTCTGCAAAACTCAGCGGATTAAACTCTTGGAAACTTGTGCACATTGGAAAATATTGATCCATACAGAGGAGGCTGTGAAGTGCCCAAACCTTGTTCCCATGCTCTGCCCTGCGCAAGTGAAAAAGCAAACTGAAATGGAAATTGAGTTCTCAGTAATGTTCAACTCAGCTGTTCAAAAATAATAAGCCCTTCAGGTCAAACTACTTTGGAGATGCTCAGGGTTATTTCTCTTGTCTGTATTTACCTGGTGAGTGTTGGGAGGCCAGGAGTCAGAGTCCCTGAGGACGAGCATCTTAACATCAGGCTGGCATTTCCCCAGCTTCACTGAAAGTTGTGCACAAGGGATGCGTTCAGCGTGGACACTACCCGGGTTTCAGAAAAGGGCTCTGAGACAAGCATGACTCCAAGTTAAAATAAGACCTCCAATGGTCTGTGCCACCTCTCCTGGTGAAGTCACACCCCAGTGCTGGGGCAGTGGTCCAACACGAGCCAGTTCCTGCAGGACTTCAGACATCAGTTTGCAGAGCTGGAGCTAATGCACAGCTGGAATTAATGTTGGCCAGAGGATCAGGGGGAACACCTCAGCCCTCTATGTTAGTCTTTTGCTACATGCGTACCTATGCCCTAAGAGAAGGAGACAGTTTTTAAGACTAGGGTTATGACTCTGCTGAGATATGAGATCAAGGAGCAGCTAGGAAGAGTGGGTGATGATGAGATTGTTTTCTTTTTCCTTTTGAAAGGAAACACAGCAAATTCCAACAAACACCCAAGTTGCAGAGAAGGGTCAACAAGGGTGGGTGTTCCAAAGGAGCACAAAAAACACCTACTCCATTAATAGGGGGCTGTACCCAAAGACTTACAGAGCAAGCATGACCTCAGTTTCTCTGGAGCAGTATTCCAAACTAACTCTTTCATTTTGAATAGGGCTGTGGAAAGGGAGAGGCTGTGGTAACAGGACAATCACAGACATAATCCCACTCCTGCATCCTGTGGAAGCTCAGCATTTAGCTGCAGAGGCAGGAGCCCTCAGCAGCCTCAGCCCAGGCAAAAAGCTGTGTTGCTGCTGCCAGCAGCCAGGCTGAAAGCACCCACTCAGAGTAGCTTAAGACTAAATTTCTCACTTATGCTCCAGCTCTTCAGCAGTGCAGAGCTGCTTTCAAACACTAAGTCATTTATGTCTAGCTGCAGCATATTTATGGGAAAGAAATCCTGCTTTTACCTGAAGAAAAAAAGCTACTTTAGAGCAGCTACTTCTTTCATTTCACCACATTTAATGAGCATCAGCTATAGATGCTATAGACATCCTTCTTGTAGCCATAGTTCCAGGGGCATGAAGAACTCTGCAAGGTTCTGCAGGGTGCTTAGCTCTTAACCCTTCCCTCCACATTTGATGTGCATGTGACAAATTAGGGGGGGGAAAAAAAGTGTCTTTTAAAATTGTAACACTTCATAGCAATCACATTTTGGATCTTTTGAATCGGAAAATGCAAATCCCACATTTGTATGTGGTTCACTGCAAATATTCCATCAAAATGTGCTGCAAGAGAAAACTGGATTTATAATTGCTGCTCTCTTAATGGAGATCCCCTGTGCTAGATTATGAGTGAAAATTTTCCTCCTCAACAGCAGTAGCAAAGTCCATTTTTCTTGTCTCATACAACAGCTGAAAATTTGTACAAAAACCAAGTTTGTTTTCTACCTGACTCTTACTGTAAATCTGAGTTCCAAGGATGAACGCAATGGTCCAGCTATAACGTTAATAGTGATAATGGGGACATGTAATTCACCCAGAATGATTTTCTAGGACACTTACGGGATTAAACATTTATTCAATAACAAAAAAGTAGCAGGCAAGCCCAGGTAGAGAGCTCTTCTGCCTGGTATCTGCAGCCACCACAATGCCAAGCGTGTCCTTTGCAAGTGGCATCACTCTGGCACTGCCAAGCTTGGTAGAATTAGTCAGGATTTTGTAGGTTTTTTCCTTTATCTGTGGAATGTCAGCTTCCTACATTACATGGCTGATGTGAGCAAAACAAAGGTCTGCCTGCACTGGAAGGGAGCGCGATGGAGACATTCATTTCCCCAGAATAGGTAGTGTAACAAATCAATCCTGACTGCACTGATAAATTGAACTTCAAGCTTGGTGATACTGCTTTTCAGGTCTAATTCAGTGTAAGACACAGCAGGAAGGAAAGGCAAAGGCACTCGTTAGCATTTCATTCTGCAAGGAGCTGCTCCCTGAGCAGAGGAGGAAAAAAAAAATTTTTTTTGTCTTCTTTTTTCAGCACAGCATTGCAACAGTTTTTAAGGAAGGTGACATGAGGTTCACAGGAATATGTGAGGGCGTATGTGCAGAGAAAGAGGTGTAAAAGAACTACTCAGAGATCACTGGCTTCTTGCCAAGCCCCAAACCTTGGGATGGGGTCATAACATGAGCTCCTGGATGCCAACAAGAAAGAAGCACTGCTTGTGGTAAAAATCCAGTTCCCAGCAGTAGGAGGATTACAGAGCAGCAATGCTATGGTATGCAAAGGGAGAAGGACCTCAGGAGGCTGAAGTCAGATCAAATCTTATCTCTTAACAGAGCCCCAGGCTGAACACAGATCACTCTCCCTCAGAACTTGGGAAGTACTTCTTTTCTAAGTAAACCCAACTCCTGCTCTTGTGTCACCTAGCAGCCATCACCCTGGGGACCTCATCTTTCTCCCCTCGGCACTGTGGCACTATAAATAATAACAAAGGGGATTTTTGCCCTTCGGTTTTCTGAATCTGGATGTAAACATCATACCTTTGTATCACACTCCAACTGTTCACCCTCTTCCACATTGGACCACAGGTTTGCATTGAACCAGAGTCCAGCAGGACTAACTTTAGGAGAAAAGTCTTCACAGCTCTCCATGAAACACTGACCTGAACAGCTCACAGAGGAAATAAAGTAAGACTTTAGGTTTGCAAATTTTGAAATTCCATTTTCTTAATTGAGTCTCCTGGTAGGGTTGTAGAACTGGAGAGGGGGTGATTGAGGACTGGTGGACACTTGGATTTACCAGTGGCTTTGACTCCATGTCCCCAGATTATCTCTTGACCCCCATCACTGCCCCGTGCAAAGATCTGCACTAGTTGGACACTTTGCACCCACTCTCTGCTCTGATGTAGTACTTTGTTAACCAATAAGAGTTTCCTTTCTGTACTTTTCCACGTATCTGTCTATAAGACAGGGCTGAAGCAATAAACTAGGAATTCTCGTGTCGTGACTCCCATGAGAGTCCATTGTCGTTCTTTATCGCCGTTCCCAATCGGAGCGACATTTCAGAGGTCCAGATAATCAAATAATAATAATAATAATCAAAACCAAAGCAACATTATTCAGTCCGTACAGAGCATCTTGTGGTGTGATCAAAGTCTGCTGAGACAGCTTGGACAGCTATAATAGTGCAGTAGCCACTTGCATGAATAGAATACCTCTCAGCAAAGGATTGCAATATGCTTTTAGGTAAGGCAGAAGTCCTGCTGACCCCACTGTAAAACTGGTAAAAGGCAAGATGTGACCTCAGACAGAGAGTTACTCTGCAATGTCTCAACAGCATTTAATTGATTACCCAGAAACAAACACACAGATTGAGTATTTCTGCCTCTCTCAAACCTGGGCCAGCTTGGTGTCTCCATGGTGGTCATCCCAAGTTGCCTAAGGATAAGAGCCCATGATCTTGGGGTGATTTGCCTTGTGGTTACTTGTTCCCAGAGGACAGCTCTTCCCCTTTCGCCTGAAACTGCCACAGCTCTTCATTGTAGCCACAACCTCCACAGCTATGCTTGTCATTCCTGTAAGTCTTAGATCTTTTGGAATCCTGTTAGGCTTGAGAGGAGACCCTGTCCTACTGCCATCTAGACAAAATCCCTGACCATGCAGAATGCATGTGAGAAGTGAGGCTGACTGGTATGTGCTGTACCCCAACTGCACCTTCAACATACTCACCAACTATATCCAGGAAACATGAAACACTTCCAGTTGTGTGTGTGTATTTGCAGCAATAAGCTCTGCCAGAGGACTTTGTTTGCAAAGGGTTGATTAGTTCCTTTCAATTTCATCTCAGCCTTATTGTTACAGTCTACCTCACCATCCATCTCCTCTTCCCACTCCAGACATTATTTACTATTCTTGCACCTGCCTTTTTCAAAAAGGACTTTTATTAGCAATACTAGTCTCAAGCCACAGTTCCACTTTTCTTTCATTTCTGCTGGAGCAATACCACCCACTGCAAAGCTCAGCATCCCTATAAATGCTGTGGTTACAAACGAATGCATCCTTCAGCAGCATTTCAGACCATTTTTTCACAATGCACATTGTAAATGAGGAGTAATATATCTTCAGAATTGCCCAGAAAACATTATTCTGTTAGCAATATAAAAGCTTCACAGTGTCCAAGTAGGTGACCTTGCCAAAAACATTTTATTGTGAGCCAGATAATTCAGTTTGAATTGTACATGGTTTGGTATAATCATTCCAGTAAAGCATTCTTTACAATTCTGTAACAGCAAGTCACATGGCTCAATAAAGTTTATTGCTGCAAATGCTTAGTGATTCATGGCATGGATGAATTCTGTTTCTTTCCTGGATCAAGTAATCAATAGCAAAATAATCTCCCTGCAATTACATTGCTCTGCATTAAAGAGGTATGAAGTAAATAAGTACAAAATCTGATAGAAAAAACAATGTGCACAACATTAAAATGAACTGCAATTTGAAACTGGGTGTCCTGCACCAGTTTTGCACACAGCCTGTGGCAGAACTACATCCAGCACACTCCCAGCCTTAAATGTGCAACAAACCCAGTTGGGACTGACAGATTTCCCTCCCATCATGTCCAGCAGAGCCTGCTGTGAACACTGCACTCACACAGATCCCACTGGATTCCCATGGGTGCCAGGGACCATCCTTTCCAAAACATGCTGAGAAAAGCAGGACCTACGCTCCTTCAACCAATGTTTTTGGTTCTTCCAGCACTGCTCCTGCACACAGTAAATCAGTGTTTATAACATCCCCTGCTGAGTTGAGTGCAAATTAAATCAGGCTAATTTACTTTGCACCATCATGTTCAGCTACGAGTCACAAAAGGAAACAGAGATGTGTGTTGAGAGGGGAGCTGCTGATGGAGCCTCCTCGGGAGCCCGGCAGGACATGGAGCCTGTTTGGGAGCCCAGCAGGACACGGAGCCCTCGGCTGCTCCAGGGCCCCGGGGTATCCCTGCTCCCTCCAACCTGCTCTGCTTCACAGACCTGAACCCTGTGACTCCACAGCAGGTTCCTCCCAATAGATGATAGATATATCATCTGTAATAAACAAGTACCAACACAGCCATCTATTTATCTGGTTCTAAGAGTTTTCTCATAAAAACAGGATGAAAATGATATTGCTTAGAAACAGACTGTTCTGGGGAATGAAGTGCATGCTGTTGTTTTTACTGTTTAATGCCTCCTGACTGGGAACACTTATATGCAAAGGAGTTCCTCTATAAATATGCTTATGCTGTTGCTCAGGCCTCAGTGCAGTGGTAAGCACATCCCTGAGCTCAGTCATGCCCATGTTTACTTTCTTATCCACAGTCTACCTCATTCCTGAATCTCACATGCACTCTGAAAAAAATATTTATGAGATTAAGCACCTAAAAAGTCACAAAAAGCCAGAGGGAAGGCTTCCTATGACAGCTTAATATAACTCCTTCCTACAAAGATATTAGAGTATGGTCTTTCATTATATGTTCATTCCCATTGGAGCTCTGTTTCATTTAGCACCCAGACTCAGACTAGGCTGTGCACTGTAAAAGAGCCTCAGTTGAGCTGTCTGCAGGAATGCAAAAAGGAAAAAAAAAAAAGAAAAGAAAAAAAAGAAAAATCAAAGTAGCAACTTGTAACAGGCACTTAGCATGGAAACTTCCAGCCCAAATAAATGAATGGTAAGAAAGTGTAAAAGGATCCTACAGATAGATGCATCAGGTAACTCTCTCATGGATTTTGATATGAATTTTCCCACTTATACCATGTTCTCTAACGCTGTTCACAGCTGTGCACCCAGGCTGCACTATGTAATTAGTTACAACCTGCATTTACCTGCATCCTTTAGAAGTACATACACACACACTCACCCTCTATAAAATAAATATCCAAATGTTTTATCAGACAGCTCCTGTATAACCCTACTGAGAATATTCACTCCCTGCCAGTCTCTGGTGACTTAAAAACAATATGGGATCCGTTTACTTTTCACTGTACTGTACTTTTCAATCTGCAGAGAAAACCTACCACCTTTCTGAAATAAATACACAATCATCAACAAACAGCTTGGATGCTCAACTCATCACTTGGTCAAATCAAATTAGGGTCACTTCAATAGGGTTATGTTAACTTATAAAAACAGAAGAGATGGTTTGAATGCTTGCAGATCACCTTTCCAAGTCAGGGCTAGGGAAGAGTGTTCATTCATTGTGAGTCTCCAGCCCTACTTTCCCAGCACACAGATTCCAGTTCTCTACCATGTGCCTAGCAGCTACAGAACTGGGATCTCTCTATCAGGTGACAAACTACTCAGGACAGGACCTTTTCTCTCCCAGACTAAAGAGCCCCATCACCAAGCACAGCCTCTGGGCACTGCCACAATGTGTGCCTATAACAGCAGCATTACATCAGCATGGTGTAGGTGACCCAAACAACTCAGCCGCCATGCTCCAAGGTGTCACATTGTGCACTTGTGGTGGTTGCCATCCAATGGTCTCTCCTCAGTAGGGTTGTCTGAAGTGAAATAGGACTCAAATGCATTAATTAGCAAAACTTCATCAAATCTGTGGTTATCAGGTTAAGTCTGCTTGAGGGAAGGACTTTTCATATGAAGTAAAAAGCTGAAATAAGGCAGCCTTCCTTGTCCTGGAACAGGTCTGGTTGTCTCCTCCTCTACAGCATTGCTTCAAGAATAAAGTGTCATCATCATCCACTGTAAAATAATATGGAAAGGGGGTTGAAATAATCCATTCCTGTGAGAGCTTTGTCATACCCTCACCTGGACTGGACTATGGGGCATTGGAGATACTCTGCCTCCAAAAGGAATACAAGCCATAATAAAGCAGAAGACTTAGAAGCCTGAACCTCCTGTTGTTTGTAACCTTCCCTGTGAGTGGTCAGTTACAGATACCTTTTCTAAGGCTACAGAATAAAACATGCAATGCCACATGCAACACAGGGGCCTGCATCTGACAGTCAGGGAATGGGCTTTACCTCAGATTCCCGGAGATATATCCCTTTGCCATCTTGTGTTAAGTTGCGAAAGGCCTCTGCAAAAGAAGTAAATGAGGAGCCTTAACTTGATAGCCAAGAGATCATCATAGCCAAGGCACTGTCTTGGGAAAAATCCCAATGGCAGAGTTTGTAGGCTATTCTCAAGTGCATGTGAGCTTCTCTGTTCCTGAGAGGTCCCTGCAGGCTGGAATGCTGGGAGCAGCTGAATAAAGTCAGGCATGTTACTCTCTGCCCACCTATCTGCAAAACCTCAAAATGCAGGTGGTCCCAACCTTACCCATTACAATTATGAGACATGTTAATTGTCTACAGCATGATCCAAGTATCAGCTGTCTCATCATCAAACTGCAGTCCACCAAAGACATATTTCAAAGCTTTCTTCTTCCTGGAAAAGGTGTATTTCAAGGCTGTCTTCTTCATGGAAAACAAGTAGTTTTTCATCTGTAATTTGCCTACCTCTTCCAACAGAAGGCCAGTGCAAATGTGCAGAGAGCTTAATCGCTCTGATATGTACAGCTTGGATGTCTGTAGGAAGGGACTGGTGGGGAGGTAAAGAGAAAGCTTGGCCCCCTCTGTATCTGTCCCTAACTTTAAACTGATTACTCTTGCTTTATTCATAAATTCAGTCCTGCAATTTTGACCTTGGCACTGCCAGTGGGAACAGCATCAGAGGGGCCATGGCTCAGCTGGCAGCCCAGCTTGCCTGGCCAGACACGGAGCACCAGCCTCACCTCCCATGATCTCCACTCGAAGCATGAAGCAAACAAAGCTCTCAAAACTGATCTGTAAGTCAGGGTCACCATATCTGATTGCCATCAAATTACAGACTTCATTGCTGAGTGAAATGCCTATGTAAAATGGAGGGGAAGAAAAGGAAAACAGAATGAGATGGCACAACTGAGTGGCCTTCATCCCTTCTCCAATAGCTTTGTTTTTCAAGCCTGGCCTAAGATAATCAAATATTAGCCAGCCCAAATGAAATCTCTACATGAAGATATTTTCTCCAAATTTAAAAGGGTTCAGGTCTGCTTTCCTATACTTACTGTCCTCCCAGAATTGGAATAAAATACAAATAGGCCTCTTTTGCTCATGGGATATGAGGGTAATAGCAGCAGCTGGGTTTAAGAGCAATATTCCCAAGAGGGTAGGAAAGGAGATGAAAATCCGGAGGAAGCTCATACAGAAAGCATCAGTCCCAATGTCAAGCAGCAGCAGTATTTGCAAGGAACAAAAGCATTCTCTATTAATGGCCTGGGATTTTAATTTGCTTTAGCAGAGGTCTGCCTGGGTTTCTCACTGTGCTTTAACTGACTCAGATGAACTGGGTGAATATGCACAAAAAAGAGGAATGATATTTAAGGTGTAAACATGCAAAAGAAGCTATAAGATTGAGCTCCAGCCCCCACACAACACCCAGCAATAGCAACAGAGCTCGGTATTTAGACCCATATGTATCATCTTCCATTTCTAGATCAAGCCTCAGACGCTGCATTAGTGAAGTCTGGCACTAATATAGCCTCCATACAAGTCCCACACTTGCAGATTTGGTCCCTGAGATGTCGTCTTCAGCAGAGGTAGCAATTTTATAGGAGCCAGATCTGGCCTCCTGCATCCCCACAAGCCCATAAAATCTTTTAAAATTCAATTAGCAGCACACAGGAAGAGATTTAAAAATTGGGTCTGAAATAGACAGACACTTCTGTTTCAGACAACTCTCAGTGTGAGACCACACTGAGAAAAGAGTGAGCAGCCTATCTCATGGCAAAATAATTTTCAGATGTGTTGACTTAGCTAAAGAAGGAAGAAGAGATAGCCAAGGCCATGTGAACTATAATATTTTCCAGTCCTCCTGGGCTCTACACACAGTTATCAAGATGTTTCCCAGCCCTGTGTTTTTCCTTCACCTTTCATGAGCAAGAAGATGAGACTTGCTAAAATATGCTGTGGGCTCACCTGTCTCCTGTACAGCTGTGTGCAGTTCCACAAGGTCAAGCTTTCCTGATCTCTTGGTGTCTCTCTTCTGGAAAACTTCCTGTGGGGTGAAGGAGTACTTTTAAACAAACTAAAGCACCCAAAACCCAACAGGTGACACCAAAGGGATTGTGAGCAGGGAGATGTTGAAAGGGGGCATAGAAATTACTGTCATACCAAATAGAAAAGCAGCCTTTTCCACAGGACTCTGAATTCCTGGATACTCAGTGTGCCAGTAGCATTCAGCTTAGTGGGAGAATTAAGGTCAAAACATCTCGATTAAACATTAGGAAGCACCCATTACATATATTAAAAAAATAAAAGAGAAAAAAACCAACCAAAAATCAAAACAACCCAAAAACTTGCAGCCACTCTAACATCCATGCAATTATAATATGAGGATAATGATTTCTTAGTCCACATGCCTATTTATAGACTTGATCCTCCTCCCACTAAAGTCAATGGAAACCTGGCTGCTGATTTCAGAAGTGGCAGGAATCAACCCTTTCCCAAACCAGCTCCATTCTGTCACAGCTGAACTGTTATTATGGAGGGTGAGAAGTTCAATAAGCAGGGTCATGTCCTGGTGGTAAAGAAATCACAGTAACACTCAGACTGGCCTAAGAAATAATGCTCTGGTAAAGTATTATATGAGTCAAAAGTATCACTCATGACAAGGATACATCCAGGAGTGCCAAGATACCCTGGCAGGAATCCAGACTGAAATTCAGGTGAAAACTCTGGAAATCTGGAGAGAAAAAAAAAAATTGTTTTGGGGAGTCATTGGACATCTCTCAGAAAAATGGACTCTCATAAAATTCCCCCTTACTTGAGAGGGCTCAGGCCCCAAAGCCTTTGTGAAACTTTACTCCCACTTGAGAAGATGTATCATTTATGATGATAAAAATATGAGGCAACAGGATGGATTCTACTAGTCTCAGAAAATCCAATATGAGCTCCCTGCAGGCATGTAATATAGAATGAAATATGGTACACTATCTCCAGCTATTAGAGAAAATGGAAGGAAAAGGACATCCAAAGCTCTAATCCCAAACAGAATTTACTGCATGACCTTGAGCAAAGTCACTTGACCTGAAGAGCTTTGGGGAACAGCACTGCAGATTAATTGAAACCCTTGTACTAAGCATCTCTCTCTCTCTCTCTCTTTCACAGACACATTGCCAGCTCTGTTAATTTAATTAAAAGTACAGGCACTACTGAAAACATGAGATGCTGCCTCAAAGCTTAGCATTCCTGGTTCATATATAAGTTACATGAAGAGTAACAGAAATCGGCTCTAATCTCACTACAAATCATGATTACAGTTAGTCTGTGCCTTCCACTGAGTAAGCGACAGAATCATAATTCACCAATCCCTTCCCTGCAGAAAGTCAAGATACTTTAATAATTTTAATATTGTAATAGCCCTGATTAGTAAATACGAACCAAGTACCATAATGATATTTAAATAATTCTTAAAATCAATAATTTATGAAAAGTAAAGACTCGCTGTTCAATATCATTTTCTCACAGATAAGGCAGCACCTGGTGGGTCAGTTTACAAAGACAGAAGAACTTTTCTTGTCCACCTTTGTAGAAAAGAGAGTAATATCAAATACAGTTTAAGTGAAAAAGGCATCACATCACTCTTTTGATCATCTTCTTTTTTGCTTGTAATGGCTGGACACAGTATTTTCTGTATTGCATATTGATTGTTACCAGTGAAGAAACTGGGAAGAAAATCTGGATTCATCATTACATCTGTAATTTCATTGTCACTGTTCAGAGAGAACAGCCACTGCAATGCCTCACTGCTGTCCAGGTAATGTTGTTTGTTACTAAGGCCCAAATTATGAGCCTGTGGAATGCTTTGGGCTGCCCCCAGCAGAGTGGATGTCACACACAAGAGAGGCAAGCCCAGGGCTCACCTGGCTCTCACAAGCATGGGTTACAGAGGCCACCTGCACCTCATCCTGTCCCCCAAACACAGAGCAAGGAGCCCTGTGCATGCACAGCAGGGAAGAGTAAATAGAAACAGCAGCATGGATCAGGCACATGAAAGTAACAACAAGACCCTTCTTCACCACACAAATTCCTACAGACTAAGCTTTCCACGTCTTCTAGTTTGGTGCTGCAGAGACTGAGGAGGTGGCACAGGGTGAAATGAGGTACAATTTCAGAATCAAAGCTCAGGTCTGGGTTTGGAGGCCAAATTAAGAATCTGCATCCATGCTTGTTCTCCCCCCTCATTCTTTCAGTTGTTGAAATTCAAACTAGATTAGCACTGCTTATAAAATTTCTGCCATGCTGATTCACAGCCCAGCAAATCCTTTTGCTCTGGAAATCTAACATGGCATCAGAAGAGCCAGTTCTGTCAGATTGAAGCCAGTTTCTCTTCCCAGAATTCAAGAAATAGATACAAGAACTGAGGCTTTTCTCTGAGAGGGCTTATTTTACAGAAACATTATTTCTCAGCACTTACTTCTCCAAGATATATTATTCAAGATCCTCTGGAGCTGAACAGCATTTATTTCAGGATTCTGTGATATGGAAGAGAATTAATTTTTTTTTTATTCTAAGTATTAAATCACTTTTCTCCCTCTTTTGTTTTCCTAGCATGTCCCATCTTCATTCTCTGCTTTTCTGGCCCCACTCCAGCCACTGTGAAAATCGACAGAAAATACACCCTTTGAATATGACAAGATTCTGAGCCTGCAAGAGCTGCAGTGTGCTCTGGGCTAAGTTCTCAGGGCTCCAACACAGATCAATGCAGTAGTGCAGTTTTCCACTGAGTGAGGGTGCAGGCCATTAACCTTTCAGCCCTGGTGCCATCTGTCCCATCAAGCACACTGTCAAGAGACCTGCTTCAAACATTCCCCTTTTATCATTTACAAACAAGCAATTCCCCCACCCCCCCAAAAAAAAAACACCATACGGGAAAACAAACCACAAAAAAAGAAAAAAAACAAAAAAAACCAAAAAAAAAAACCAAAAAAAACCCCAACAACCAAAAAATCCAAAACAACAAACACAACAAAAAAAACCAAGAAAACTTTGGAATAGTTCTCCCCAAACTTTTCAAAGCAGAGACTCCCCCTCTCTCTTGTCATACTAAAGTTTACAGATCTTTTAGAAGCTGTGACAATCTTTTGTTTGAACGATTTTTTTATATGTCACTCTTCAAAAATAAAAGCCTGCTTTCAGATCATTGAGACATGGCAGGGTAAAGCCTTCAGAAATGGCAGTAACTCCCTCTGCCTCTGTGTGTACTTGGACATCCTGACAGCAAAGGACCAGCACCTCACAGTATGTGGCCATTTCTAACACATCAAAGCTGCGCCGTTCTCAAAACCAAAATCTTAAAACAAGGGGCAAAAAGTGAAAGCATTCCTTGCTTTAAGAAACAGCTTCCTTCAAAATATTCTCTTAAAAGTGAAAATTTATTTTTGTGAAATTGTGTTTGCCAAATACAGGGTGTGATGCTAAATAAATGCAGTGACCTTTTCTGAAAGGTGAAACACCTGCATCTGTCACCACAGTCAGTGAGACCCCTGATGGTCAGCTCCATCCCAAATCAGGCCAGAGAAATCACTAAAGAGAATCTTTCACAGTAAGGATCATATTTCACTAGGAAAATTAGGGGGAAAAGATGATGGGACACCCAATATCTATTTCACCTCTCAAAGCAGGTTAGCTGCCATCCAACTGTGATGAATGATGTATTGAAGGTTCAATATTTCAGGAGTGTTCTCTAATAGGAAACTTTTCCCAATGAATGTAAGAATGCCCCAAAGGGTAGGATGGATCCACACAGCCCATCACTTTGTCCCCAATACAGGCAACAGGAATTAATGATTAGGAAGAGCACATGAGCCTAGTCAGCTTCTAACCAGGTAGTCCATTCTGCTGTTTCACTGTTGGAAAAATTAACTTAGAGGGTACATCCATGTTCAGTCTTTTAGCATTTGTTTATGGACGTTCTGTCCATCAGTTTGCTAATACCTTTTGAGCCTCTTGATACTGTCACACCCACATTAAGTTCCAGGCATTGACATCCTGTTGTGCAGAGAAGAGTGCCTGTCTCAGTGCTCTCACATTGCTAAGCTTCACAGGCAAATTTGCTGTGTGGAGTCATCACTGTACAGACTGCAACCTCCATAGCCCCTCTCTGCTCCCCACACATCCACAGAGCTCCCTTGAACATCCACATGCTTTTACTCTCACAGAGCTACATAATAGCTCTGGAGGAGTTTACTCATGCAAGCACTTACCTGTTCAAAATGCTTTGTGAAGAAATCCTCCCAAATCTTGCCTTCATATCTATCAACAATTTCCTTTAAGGTATCAAAAAAAAAAATCATTAACTTGCATAAGAAAAATACTGTCAACCAAGTTATTAAAGATGCTTTCCCAGAATGGCATTCCATTCCTTGCCCTTTCCACCCTCTGCCCACCACTGCAATCAGTGTTACATCACTAACACAGCCCACTGCTAAGATACTTCCCTACATCACAGAACTGCTATTTCTTGGAGAGAAATATTCAGATGACATTTAGTGGGGAGAAACATTGCCCTCACCCCAACCCAAGCTGTGTGAAGCACAGGGCTCACGCTGTGCCAAGAAGAGAGAAGGGTCTCTGTAATCCTTTATATAGCCCAACAGAGGAGATGAAAGCAGGAAAGGCCCTGTTTATGCCAGGGGAACAGACTATGCTATAAATTCCCTAGCACAAGCTGCAGATGTGCATGCACAGTTCTTTTGAAAATAACCTTTAGGCCATTGCATGACAATAGCACTACAAAGGTCCCATAATGTCTTCAAAACATTCATGGCATGAAAGGGATGGGTAGAAGTGGAAGAATGGACCACAAGTATCCAAAAAGCTATGAACAGGAAAGACCACAGAGCAAGTAAGATGATGTCATTAAAAGAGGTTTGCAAAAAGGACAACTAAGCTGTCTAAAGTTTTGCCTGTCCCCCATATTTGATTGCATCTGTCCCCTTGGTCCAAAGGATTCTGTCTGTAAACCCAAGCTGTGCTATCAAGTGCTGCAACACAAGCATTGACATTCTCACTCAGCCCCTCCTCTAGGGCAGAGCAACAGTAAAAATCCAACATTCCGAGCTGTTGATTGAACCACAGACCCCCTACTCCCCTCACACCCACTCACCTTAGAGAGGGTGAAGCTCGTGTTCCCACCCATTTCCCTGGAGATGCAGAAAAGCAGACACATTAAGGACAGATCTGAGTTGTGTGTTGGTCTCACCACAGGTGTCATTCCCCTTCCCCAGATGGGGCCCCAAGCTGCTTTTGCTGTGTTTTATTCTCTGCTGTTACAGCTGCAGTAAGGCAAGGCCTCATATCCATGCAGAACCCCAAAAGCTGCTGACATTTGAAGTATCCAAAGCACCATTTCTGTACAAGTAACCATCCTAGCTTTGCCAGCAGGGAACTCCTGGGAAACTAATGGAGCTAAAAAGCTAAAGAGCTCTTATCCTTCTCACAGTCTCAAACATGAGCATGCTGCAAGGATTGAGTGGGCCTAGCTCAGACTTTTTGAAAGGGTAAGGCCAAAACCAGTGATCCAACCATTGAGAATCCTGCAGCAGGAGAAATCCAGAGCCAGCTTCTCTGAAAGAGGTTGTGCTGCTTTTTTCAGAGTTAAGTCTTTATGCTGCCCCCATTAGACTAGAAAGACCAGACTTCCCCAGGGAATTTGGTGCTGGCAGAGTGGCAGCAGCATCTCACCGAAGAACGTGCTTCCTGGAGAAGACCCGCAGGATGAACTCAGACTCTTGCTGAGGCTCCAGGGTGGATGGGACAATCACGTAGACACAAGGCTCCAGATGGAAGTCATGAGTCACTTCCCGCTCATCAAGGAAAACCTGGTGCTTGTTCACAGGCTGATGTCGGGTGAAGAAACCTGGGGGTAGCTTTCTGTTGCTCTCCTGGTACTGTTCAGAGAAGAAAGGCAAGAGAATTGTGTTCTGCCCCAGCTGATCACATGGGCAAAAGGCATGTGGAGGATTCATGGGCAGGGCACAGCCAGCCTTTCTTCACATCTCAACCTGTTTTAGAGCACAAGCAGGTAACAGAGCCCAGAGTACTCTGTCTGTTGCCAGGACATGGCAGTTCTCACTATGCAGCACCCTTGCCCAACACTAATATGACAAAAGACTGGGCTTCCTTCAACTTATAAAAAAACCCTTGCACTACTTGTAAGTAACAGCAGCAACAACTGGGGACGAGAAGCTATTCCTGTCAACGTGGCTTCTGCAAAAGTTTTTGCCATATGGGTCAAAATGACTGCAGGCAGGAACTGCTCTAGAGATTACCCTTCACTAGCCAGAGCACCTCTTTTCCCACAGGGACCATATACTTTGTCCCCAGCTTGTCCTTTGCACTAGGGATCTGGTAACAAAGGATTTTTCAGAACACTTGTGACCTGAGCATACTGCACAAGCAACCTAAGCCCTTGTCCTGACTTCATGCAAGTGTCCTTGATCTGTCTGGCACTCTTTGCTCTGCAGGCCCTTTTCTGCCACAGGATGATGGATAAAGTGTTGATCCAGGCAACATGGAACTAATTTTAATGCCACTGAGTGCCCAGTACACAAGCCAAATAAATAATCCTGCTAGCTAAAACTACTGTCACCTTCTGATCTTGGCTGTTCCTCAAAACATTTAGCCATTTTACTCTGCAGCCTCACGGGGAGATGCTATTCCTCTTCCTTTGCCTGTATTTTTCTTACTAATAGAGCAATCTTTCTTATGAAGGGTTCAGGGTTACTCCTCCTCATGCCCCTTATGTTAAATTCAAAGTTTTATATTCCAGTCAATACTCTGTTGACAGCAGTTCCAATACCTTAGATGCTCGCAGCTTGCCATCTCTCCGTATTGATCTTGGCAACCACTACAATCCTGAAATTGAAGTCCTGGCTGCCACATTCCCACTCAGGTGTGGCAGAGCATTGTGCTAGGGCCATGCTCAGACCCCCTCTGCCAGAAAGTTTATCCTGAAGGCAACCCTGATAGTGCCCAAGATAAATTTAAGTCAGGAAGGAGTGGCATCTTACCCCATGGTTACCAGGCTGAGTCTACAGTAACTAGGAACACAATTGTGCTGCCCTAACCATATACCCAAGCTATTTCTTTGCCAGCAAAAGTTATCATTTAAGAGGTGTACTCTCATTTGAGTAGTAACAGAGTGGAAGATATGCCCTTTAAAGACACAATGAGCTAAATCTTTCCCTGTTTTAAATAGCCCCCTGAGGTCAAGGCCAAAATTGGGACTTACATCAGGATTTAACTTGCAGGGATCTTTCTTCTGTCCCAAAGGCTCTTAGATAAAAAAAAAATGCTAGAAATACAGCTGACCTGAAGAAGCCAAAACACCTGTACCATCAGACAGCCAGGAACCTGAGGTCCCTAGGAGATCTTTGACTTGCATGAGGCACAGGCTCTTTTCCCACCTCATGCTAAGACTGAAAGGCAGGAGAAAGGCATCTCTGATTCCCACGACACAGCCAGGAACTGGGGCACCATCCCACAACTGCAACAGGGATGAAATGCTCATCAGGTAAAGGTTGATGCTACTTCTAATACCTTTGAAGACCCAGGACAGAAGCTGAACAACTAACGCCCACTCTCAAGGCCAATGAGCTCTCCTGATATGGCTGCTGTTCAGTAGAGTCAGAGGATGGTTCTGCATTAGTAGTACCTTGCTGTGGTGCCTCACTGAATTCAAATACTGTCACTTCAAATACCATCAGCCAAGGAACAAAGGCAAACACACCACATTCAGCACTGTCTTAACAGCTGCTCCAGCCCAGGTGCCCCAGAGAACAGCCAGCAGTGGTGACAAGGGACTCACCTGTAGGCCCACCTGCAGGAAGAAAAGAAACAGAGCATCAGTCAGTCAGGACCTCTGTCTCACAAAACACAGCCAAGTCATTCCTGGGAAGCAGAACAGCTACATACATCTATATGGGGTCTTTGCCTTCAGAAACCTCACTCCCTCCACCCAAAAACCCTTTCCCACAGTCACAACTCCATAACTGTGCAAGCTCACAGAAGCAACAAGACCTGTGGCTCTGTTCAAGGGAGAAGAGTGGCTCTCAAGGTACTCAGATAAGCAGAGAATTGAAGGTAGGAAACTCACTCCTACTGATATCAACTTCCATAACAGTATGCATACATGAGCAGCTTCCACATCATATTAGGAACACTTTTTAGACCAAATTTTACCATGGTTGGAAATAACCTGAGGGCAGAGATCTTCCTGCCCCAAGGTAAGTTACTGGCACCCTCTTCCAGCTATTGCACATACTCTCAGAGGCAGCAAAATAAATCCCAATGTGCTTTGAAGCAAAAGGCACTTCTCACTGCTCTGCAGGGTGACACACAGCATGCTGGAGAGGCAGCAAGGGGGACACAGAGCCCGAGGGAGCCTACACCTGATGTGTGAAGAGACTGGGCACAGGCAGAAAGAAAGAGCAGAGGTCACCCTGCAAACAACAAGAGCTCTTGGTCTGCAGAACACTACAATCTACAGGGGCTGGAAGTTCTCCTGTTTGGTGACAGCAAGAAAAGCAAAGCGATTTGCACCTTATAGAGTAAAAATCCAATGAAAAGGTGAGGGGCTCGGTTCCGGTGTTTGGTGCTGTGTTTCTGCATGAGGGATATAACCACGTTGCATGTACTTGGGCTTTTCTTACTGTCTTCAGCTGGCAACACATTCAGCCAGTACTGAGGGTTCATCCAAAAGTTGCCTAAACAAAACAAGAAAAACATTTTGATGTCATTTTCCATCACAAAATTGATTTCCAGCTTCCCACATGATGACTGGCATTGGACTGAATAGGTCACAGGTTGTCTTGACCTCCAGACCCCACAGGAATTTGATTTTAAGGTGCAGTTTACAAGTTTAGCAGTGCAACTACTATCTAAGACAGGACAAAGACCCAGGAACAAGGAGCTATAACTCTGCTTATATGCAACTAAGAGCTTATTTTGTTTATAAATGTATCACTACTCCTCTCTCACCCCTGGTGTATGGACTAGCTGAGTTTAGACTTCACCTGCTCTGCTTCCAAAAGAGCTGAGCCACTATTTTATTCACTTTACTTAAAACACACTCCCTGGAGGTGCTGAGGATGCAAATTTTAACAGACAAGTTTAATGCCCTAGAGTAGATCAGTGCTGGCATTGATCCTGGGATCCTAAGGCTTATTTCATGCTATAATCAGCCCACTGCCCTATGTTTTCAAGCAGTGCATCTTCTGTGATATCAGAAGCCAAAGTCCTTCAGCTGCTTAATTCTGATGTTTGTGCGGAGGCTGAAACAGGAAGCACTCTTTTCTGTTATCAGTTTTATAAGAGGTTATAAGGAGCTGATAACTGAGTCAGCAGAGTATCCAAAAGTCAGAGTTATCCAAAAGAGCACCCCTCACCATTACAGAATCCCAGACTTCCTCCTGCTGTACTTCCTTTAACCCATCTCCCACTCTTCAAGGAGTACATCCACTTTTTCCCATCTTCCTGGCTCATCAGGTCTGGAGTTAATTTACAGATCACCAGATCTACAAAATGAATCTTAAAATCTCGCAGAGACATCCTGGGAAAAGAGTGCCAAGAGACATCCTGTCAGCAGTTTAGTTTAGTCCATATAGCTCATAAAATGGAAAGAAAAGGGAGCAGGGAACTTAGAAGCTGCACCATTCTGTGTTACATATGGTAATGCTCATATTTTATTAGGCAGTAAAGAAGAGAGCGTCTGCTTTCACAGCAGCATCTAGGAGTAGCTAATGCACGACTAAAACTTCAGCAAAGGACAGCAGAACAGAGAATAAAACAATACTGCCAGCAAAGGAAGTGCAGTGAAATTACAGGGGCAGCAACATTGCCGCCTTGTGGCAAAAGCTGTGGAGAAACCGCAGACAAACAGGCAAAGATCTTCCCGAAGCTATGTTAAAAAAAATAATAAATAAATAAATAAGTTAGGACAAAAGCTGCTGGGACTGCCCTTTATCTCCAGTAGTCTCAGGAGACCTAGCAATGTCCTGCTTCTCCCTCATTCCTGCATTGAAGAACAGTGTATTCCATGTCTGCACAGCCACGGCTTCACTCATGGCATCAAGCTGAGAGGAGCATGGGCTGCTATAAAGCTCATCACCTATGCCTTGGCCTAAGAGGCAATGTGCTGCTTCAGCTCCAGGTGCAGTCCCAGGGCTACTGGTGGAGAGGGGAGAAGCAAGACTATGCCATTACCAGAATTCTCCATCTTCCTTCTTTTTTCTTAGCAAAATCTTCTCCTTCGGGCTCAGCAGCTCCCACTTATAAGAGCTAAGGGGAAAAACATGAGGTGACTAACCAAATGTGGCCATAGATTAGAGGCAGATGACATAACCTTCCTCTATAAAAAGAGGCCAGATCCCTGTTTCTACATATCTCCATGCTTATCCCCCACTATGCCTTCAGCCACACCAGACTCTGCACGACCACCATGAGATGTAGGTACATGGCTCCAGTTTTCTCCAGCAGAAGCCAGAAATGTTCCATTTCCATCAGCCAGTCCCTTTGCTTGAACACACAGCTTCCAAGTACTTAAAATATAAAAATCTAGACCTGCTTTATTGGTTAATTTTCTGTCAAAGGAGACATAATAGGAAGAGTGTTTGGCATAATGAATGAATGACTAGGACAGCACAAGAGGCAGCTGGGAGTCGTTTCAAAGGCAGGCCTGCAGTATGTTGCTCATTATGCTCCTCAACAGAACAGCTGGTGTGTTGTCATTATGTGGCAGACACGCATCAGAGAAGTTACTGCTCTGCAGACAAGGTGAAAGCCATTCACATTCCCAGTGACCTCTGTACTCTTCCCTCCTTTCTATGCCCTGAGCCTCAGCAAACAGCCTGTGCAGGGAATAAAGTGAAGCTTGGAAGCAAGAAACATGCTCCACTTCAAAGAGAAACAGTACACAAATTTACAGTTGCCCATGGTCTAGAATGCAAACCACTGTCTTTCATGGGTCCCAACCAAAAAAAAACCCAAAAAAACAAAAACAAAAAAAACAACCCAAAAATCAGGTAGATGCAAATATAGAGCCCATTTACCACACTAGTTGTTTCCTCTGATCTCATGCCCAACTGTACTTCCCCAAGCAGCCAGGACAGAGAACTGCTTCCTAGTTACCCAATTCCAACACTTTGCAGCCTGTGGAAGATTCTTTCTGTGCCCTCCCATGAAAAAGGACTATGTCCTGAAACATGGGGGTTTTGTTTTTTAGGGTCTCCTGCACAGCTATCTGTCCCTTTGTATGCTCTCCACATCACAGCAAGGTGGTCAGCATCTCATGTTCCTATTGTGTTTCCTCTGGCATTCAGTAAAAGGAAAAGTAGAACTGATCTGATTGAGGCTGCATGTGTGAAGTGCAGCACTGTCTGTTGGAGACATATAAATCTATGGAGTCACTGCTTTGACACCAGAAGGTCTGTGCAAGCAACTGTTATCTTATTGCTGCCCTCAACATTAATTCATGCCTGAAGATGGCAGCATCTTTCCTCCAAGAAACCTGTCCTCCGCTCAGTGTCACACTTTTCCTTTTTTAAACTCACCTGTCACTCCAGTCTCCTTTCCACTCAATTTTTCCCCATGGATTTCTCAGTCTCACTAAGTTTTCAGGTCCATATTGACAGGTCACCTGCAGAAAACAGTAACATTCTGTTTATCAAAGTCTCGGCAGTTCTCATCTGGTTTATATCATTGTACTATGTCAGATATTAATAACAATTTTGTTTGTTCTCATAGATGCCAGCAAGTATGATGATAAAAATATTTGAACATGTAACTCTGAATGCCAACAACAAAGAGATTAAGGTGCTTCATCTTACATTCTAAACTGAAACTAGAGACATGACAGATTCCTAATATAAAGGCTTGACTGTAAATTCCTCTTCCTTTCCTACATCTGTTCATTTTGTACTCATGTGAAAGCCAAGTCCTACCCCAGTGCAATGACACAGCACAATGCAGCCCGCCGTGGGTGCCCACACAGGTTATTGCCTCCTGAACTGGGATGCCATGGTGGGAATAGAGGGAACCAGGCCAGTTAGGGGCTTTGTCGACAGTGCACAGCAGAACAGCTGACTTCACACTGTTTCCATATGGTTGGTCATTCCCTTAAGGCTGCCTGGCTCTTCATCTCACCAGAGGAGCCAGACTGACAGACATGTTTTTGAAAAATTCCACACGTAACTCCTGCTCCTCCTCCTGTGGGAGACACAGATCATCTCTTCTGCCCTTCCTAGTATCTCCTGCTAAAGATACTGAACATGCTTTTACCAAAATGTCCAAAGCTCCACATAGTCTTTGCCATCCTTGTCAACCTCCTTTTGAAGCTGGACAAGACAGTAATCCACCAATTCAGGATGAAAAAGCTACTCTTTGGAACGTATTATTTCAAGTCCTTTACCTCTAGACAAATATCCTAAGGGGACTCCCAGCAATTTTTCTGCAGATTAGTGGGGTCTCCCTGCACTGTCTGCACAGGAGCACAGTTCAGTTCCCTTAGTCCTCCCCTGACTCATATTTCCATCTGCAGTTTTTCATATTTTGACCTTTGCTTCTCTATGGCTTCTCTACTGCCTTCAGAGGAAGCCTTTTTACCCCAAGTAAAAAGCACATCCCCAAGTTTCAGCACATCCTCCCAGCAGCCCCAAAGGCCAGTCCTTTCATACTTAACAGCTAAGGTGCATTTCTAGGTGATGGTCTCAGCAGAGTCTTGTGAATCATTCCCACCCTTAGAGATACACTGATCCATAACAATTGTCCTTTACATCAAGGCCTCCAAATTACAACGGACACACTTTAAATGTGAGTCTTAACAAAGCCCACAGTCTCTTTCAGCCTTAGACTAAGAACAGAGTATTGGGGAGGAGACATTGTAGTTACTCTGATCAATGGGCGAACCCATGAATGCAATAAAAATTGCTAATATCCAAATTAACCTGGACCCAGGACATTTGGGCTGGTCTTACCTTTCTAATACCAGTTACTGTATAGGCATGGCCAGCAACAAGCCCATTCTTCAGGACCTTTGTTGTCTGTATACAGGAAAGAGAAACAGAAGGAGAACAAGCCTTTATCCCTACTCATACAGCAATACCAGAGACCTGTACTCCTGTAAGCAATGGATTTCAAAGCAAATGGAGAACTGAAAAATAAATAAATAAATAAATAAATAGAAGCTCGTAAATCCAGATTTTTCAGTATGCTTGGAACTGGAAGGCTGATTGTTAATGGCCCTTCCTCAATTGTGGATCTTCAGCTAGAGACCATCTCACTTTAAGGAAGTCCAGGAGGTTAGGTTTTGATTTTCAGAAAAGTAGTTTCCCAACAGTTGAGGTGGTAGCATAAAGCTTGGAAGCCAAGACTTTAATGCATGTTCTGAAAGACCCACCTCTCTACCTTAGCTATAAATTTATTCCATGTGTGTCTGTACCTCACTGCACCATCTGTAAAAATGGAAAATTTATTTAATAAAAATGGGAAAATTCAGTAGGTCCCTATTTAATAGAATTGCTTTCATAGATAAACCAGGTCCTAAACATAATAACAGAGAGCTGAGAGCATCAGGGACTCAAGCCATGAGCAAAGTTTAACATGAAGATGTGACTTCTACAGAAAGCCATGTGTGGCAGCTTTGACATGTTTTGAGTCACAATGACTAGCTGAGAAGAGGGAAATGGGTCTGGAAAGGTTTTTATTTATAAAGTCATTTGATGTCCCTCCAAACTCACCCCTAAGTGTGTTTGACAACCCATGAGAGATCTGCTGTAGGTGGCTCTTGTCAGGATATCCCACAGATCAGGAGGAGCTTCTGCAAGCTTGATCCTTGTATTGACACCCCCTGTAAAATCCACCAAGGCTTCTGAAACTTGCCCAATCTGCAGATCTTCATAGGAGCCATACAGTCTAGCAAAAAAAGACATCAATATATTCTTTGGGTTATAGTCACAGATGACAAGTTGAGAACAGCTTGCCAATGAAAACATTAAAAAAAAGTGTGCAAAAAGCAAAAGGAGGGCTGTAACTCATGTTTAATTTTAAGGGAATTTTTGGCATTTGGGAAGAGGAGAATCTACAAAATTGCCTCCAGGATTGGCCATAGTCTGAAAGGGATTCTTCACTCACTGTCATCCCTGCACTGTAATGAGAACATGCCCATCACGACTCTTTGATAACTCTGCCTTAGAGAATGTTGCCTGAATTTATCACCAGGCATTGTGCTGTATCTAAGATATAGTGCATTGAGAGATGCTGTCTTGAGAGCTCAGTCTCCAATCTGATTTTATCACTCCAGTGCAACTTGGCCCAGTCTTTTCATTCTAACACTAACACCAAATGAAAATAACTGAACATTCTCACCTTTGTGTGATCCTTCTCTCAGTGTTAACTATTTTTCCCTGCTCTGCAAAGACTATTTCAGCCAAATATTAACGAACTCCATCAGTTAGGCCTTGCTGCTTTCTTCTTTGTGCTGATACTACAACTCTAGACAAAACACCCTGGAGAGAAGCCACAAAAACATCTGCCAAAACAAAGTGCAATGCTTCAGCAGACCTTCAAAATTAAAATCCTTGGAGGTTTCTTACACTGATAATACATTAAAGGAGGCCTTGGAAATTATTCACGTTCGAAAATGTGTATCTGTGGTGTTCTACTCCTCTGTGGTATTTACAAGGAAGGTATCAGCCTCAGCCAATACACTGCAAACAGTGATAACACTCAGAGAATAACCCACCACAATAGGGCTGTTTTCACACCTAAACCCTTGGATTTAAACTCAAGGGCCTGGTTTGATAACAGCTACTGCAATGGCAGCTTTTATGTGCGATAATAGAAAGATGAGAGCCATCTACTACACTCCAAATGTAGCAAGGCCTAGAAGATGCATTTATAAACAAGAACAAACTGCGTAGGCACCAACCAACATATTTTAGAGAGACTATTTGCATAACTTGAAATGAGTCACTTACTTAGCATATGCCTTCTCCAGAAGGGCTCCCCAAAACACGTTCTTATAGACTGAGGAAACAAAGAGCAGCTCCCCCGCCTCATTCACCGGCAGGCGATCATCAACCACCACGTCAATCCATTCCCCAAAGTGCCAGAACTGTCAGGGGAAAGGAATGAGCTGATGTTTCCCTTGGAAGGGACCTCCCCTTGAAACAACAGGAAAGGCAAGACAGCCTAGCTGTGGGCACGGAACAAGCTGCTGTGGGTCAGTGTGATGTGCTGACTCACTCACAGAGCCAGCTCCTCAACCCCACCTGGCCAGAGGAGAAAACAAAGCATGCATCAGGTGTAAAAGGAGTAACCAGGGAAATCAGCCACAGGTGGACTTCTGGGGAAGGAATTCCTAATTTGCAGGGTAGCAGAGTTGTACCAAGAGATGGACAAAGGGGAAGAAGATTGGAGCTGATGTGCTCAGGTCCTGCTGACTGTTGCCACTCTTGAAAAAGAGTTTTGTCTGCGTTAAAACATGGACAGGACGCAGCTGGAGAGAGCAGCCAAGCAGAGGTGTTTCCTCAGTGGCTTGATTCACTGCCTGCACTACTTTGTGGGAGGGGTGATGGGCTCCTCTCCAAACTGGGATACCCTCTGGCCACTTGCCCCTGACCGAAGGGAACCACATACAAATTATCTAAGGGTGTGACACAAAAACATAGCAGAGGATATCTGAGGGTGTCCTGCAATCTGGGGGAGCAGCTGTACCCGGAAGTGGAAAATGCCCGCATATTTCCTCTCAAAGCTCTGGTTTTGTGGCACAACTGCAGCCAAGATGTCCTGGTGGAACGTCAGGGCTTCCAGGGCCGCCAGGAACCAGCAGTTCTCTGTGCCAAGACAAACGGACACATGCAGTTGGCTGGAAAGTGAGAGCTCTCAGCCAAGTTCAGCAACACCACCAAGATCCCGGCAGAAGAGCTGTTGTGCTGATGTCTTTACAATTATAGCAAATCATACACACAAAATTAGATGATCTAGACATGTTCTTTACTTAACCAAACTGTGATTGGTTTATAATTATTCTCTCATGATATTTTCATTTGGATACTGTTTGGTTAAATAAGAAATTTAGCAAGCAATAACTGTCAATAGAAACATTCTGTGTTTTACTGACATTGTGTGAGTTTTTTTCTGTTCTCTATAAAGGCACACTATTAAAAAAAAACCAAACAACACCTTTTTCATTTTTCTTTGAAAACATTAGCTTTTCAGAAAAGAAAATAATTTCCAGTGGATCTAACATGCAGGACTGTAATTAGCAAACTATGGTTTTAAGGACATAAAGCACTTAAAAACTAATTTAGTCCCACCTTTACCTGTTTTTCAGATGGCAATATAGTATTTTATTTTAGGCAACACAGGCATAAAATTATTTTTCTAACTGTAAGGCTGAGAAGGGAATACACTCACACTGAGCATTAGGTACAAATATAAAGTCCTTTTGTGGTCTCTGTTCAATTGTCAAGCAGCAACAGCACAAGACCAGTAAGAGCACAGGATCACTTCCTATTAGCATGGGCAGAAACAACACACAGTGGTGATTTCAGCTTGTGGAGACACTTCTCATGCCTCAAATCCCATCTCAAAGCTTAACAGCTTATTTACTGAGCCTACGCCAGTAAATGATTGTTTCATCCACACCATGCCAAGTGGAGAGAGGAGATGGATACCTTCTATTTCCATGCCAAGTTTTATACATTCAAACTTCCATGCAAAATATTACCCTGTGTAAGAATACTTAGATATTTATACAAAGGATTTTCCTTACCCACCAGTCCTTGGCGGAGATCAAGCTGCTTTCTATTTGCAGCATAAAATACGGGACTTTTGTGCAAAGCCTGGGAAGCACAAAATGAAAAGAAAAGAAAAGAAAAGAAAAGAAAAGGAAAAAAAAAAAAAAAAAAAGAAGGACAAAGTTAAGCCAGTAACATGAGCTGATTTAGTTTGAAAGTTAAAGCTTTTAAAATACTGAGAGTCCTTTGTCCCAGCAGAAATTGTTCTGGCTCAGGTATAAATCTACTGTTACGTGCTCTGGCTAACCTGACACAAGCCTGGGCACACATTTGTGCTTGGTCTATGCTGAATTTCATCTCCAGCATAAGTCACTGGTGCTCAGATGATCACCATGGCTTTCCATGGAAACCATGCTGAAAAGACATCCTTCAAACCTGCCAGTCCCGCTCCTCCACACAAGTGCCAGCCAAAAGAGGTTATGAGGGCAGAGCATAACTGTTCAAACTTTCACTCAACCTGGCTGACATTTCCACAGCTTGACTGACAATTGAGCTACAGACTGATGGCTGCTATAGAATTCCTGTTGCTGTGACAAGAATAGGTCTGTGAATAATTGTACAGAGGGAAATAATGTGGTGATTTTTTTCCCTTCACAAGTGCCTCTGGTGTTAAATTAATAACCTAAGTGTCAAAATTACATTTCACTTGAATGACCCAGAAATTGCTCAAGCTAAGTTTCATACTGTTGGCTTCCCCTGCAGGCAGTAGCAAAGATACAGCAAACCCTCAGAAGGCAGTCACAGTAATTAGACACCAAGCCCTGCCCTTGGTGATCTTGGGTGTTCAGTTTGCAGGCCATCAGTCATAGATGCAGCAAGCTACAAGCCTGCAGGCTGAATGGCAGAATCTCAGCATCTCCTTTGCAGCAGAGGGACTGAAGGATGCACAGCAACCATTCTCAAAGAATCTTTTCTCAGAAAGTCTGGCATCCAGAGTAGACAGCTGCCTTCTTCACAAGGCAGTTTTAGAATCACAGAATCACAGAACATGTTGAGTTGGAAGGGACCCATCAGGATCATCAAGTCCAACTCCTGGATGTATACAGGACACCCCAACAATCATAGCAGAGCAGAAGAATAGTATACTGAGAGACAAAGGAGGTTTCAAGTCCATTCCACCAATATTTGAGGGGTGGAGAGACACTTGAAAGGCTTTGCAGTGGCCAAGACTCATGCTGACCTTTTCTTTGCAGAAACTCGATCCTACTGGGAAATTGTTTAAATCTCACAAAATATGACAACTAGAAAATAACATAGCTGGATGCTATCTAGTATTACCTGGCAGAATTTCCCACAGACAAAGGAATTCTGAAATTCTCACATAATCTTATACAGTGCTTTCAGGAGGATCTGATTGTCAATACTCTGCTCACTGGCTCAGTAAGAGCAGAACTGGCATTGCTAGTAACAGGCCTTAGCGAACTATGCCAGACCCCTGTCCAGGCCTCCCACACTTGTTATCTACCCTTTTGTTATGAGAACAAGCTCTATGACCAGCCCTTGCACCTGGGTGTCTTGTTGTGATGTTCAGTTTAAGCCTAGAATTCCAGCAAAGGACTTGGAAATGTGAGCACAAGTAGAAAACAAAGGCCCCAAAACTAAAGCAAACTCACAGACTGATGCTCAGTCACTGGCTGTGATAGAAGCTCAGCCTTGAGAGCTGGGGAAAGATTACTCGAAGTGCAATAGACTAAACAGTTAAGCAGGGAAAAAAAAACAGCCCAGCAAAACGATAAGGCACCTGTCCTCTCTGGGAAAGTAGCAGCCTCCAGCATCCTAACAGTATGAGGTCCATGGGAGAGAGGGGTCACAGCTAAGAACTGTCTAGAAACTCAGAAATCTTCTAAAAGATCATGATCTTGAACTGTGAGGAAAAGGATCTCATCTGTCACCACAGAATCACAGTGAGATCACTGCAGCCGTGACTACAAGGAAACCAACTCTCCCTGCTCCCTTTGCCTCCTCTCCCTGCCTGCTCCAAGTGTTGCTGGATATAAATTGAACAAGGTTGGTTATGATTTTGTGCAACAAATGCTTCAAAGGCAATTATGAGACTCCATGTACTCCAGCTTCCAAAATGACACCTGATGCAATAAATGTAATCCCTGGAGACATTAAAGTACACCTAAATTAAAGTCTGAATGTAGTCTGTTCAATGCTAAAACTATTTGCTGGCTATCATCTGTAAACATTTTCTTACACACAGTACTCACTGAAAGTCACTTACGTGTGGCCTCTTCCACTGTAAATTTTGGGGCAGTTTCTTTAGCAGTGCTCCTGTTCCAATAGAGCTGATGTGAGCAGGGAAGGTGTCGTCTATGAACAAGTGTTTGTTCTTCAAGCATGACTCCAGCAAAGCCTGGTAGTTCTGCTGGATAGGAGGGGTGTGTTTTTGAAATATACTTCTGCCTAAAGGCACAGGTGACTTATTTTTTTTCAAGCACAGCAGAAAAGGCATGCTGATATATCCAATAACACCAGGATAATTTTTTTCCACTGAGGATTTTGGAAGAATCTCACACTGCACAGTTCTGCTGGAAACTCTTGGTTTTCTCAGATGAGGCGTGTCTTTTCAGAAGAATTCCTGATAGTTAAAATAAGTATAAAAAGTTAATTTAATCCTGCCTTTTAAAATTTTCTTCTTAGTCAGCAGGGGTGGGTAGGAACAGTGGCATCCCCAGGAGAAGTAGGGGCTCACCCAGTTCTCACTGAGCACTTATCACTGCATTTTCAAGGCTTTAATATCACTGTAGATCTGAGTGAAATCAAAATTAGTAACCTCCCTGACTTTTACTAGAGCTCTAAAGCCATACACATGGCTGTTCTATGTCTCTCTATGGACAATTTTAGGCTCTTCAGGACATTTTCATAACATGTTGCAATATGAATGATAGTCTTTATTCAATTACATTCTAGCACGAAGTTATTTCCCATCCCCCCTCCCAAAAAAAAAAAGCAAAAAGAAAAAAAAAGCAAAAGCAAGATAAACCAAAGGCTAACAGAAAAGTGGAATACTTTAGGTTTTAGAAAGCCACAGCTCACACTCCTATGATAGTTATTTTGCCCTTTTTGCCTCATTTTGGAAAATGGTATGATCTTCCCCAAGAGTTCACATTCCATCTTGCTGAACCACCACAGATTCACACATGAAATTGCATGCTGAGGTATTTTTTTCCTTGTAACATTCAAGACAGATGTTTCTCATCCCCTCACTAAAAACACCAAAGAGAGATGTCCTAGGCCTTTTTTTAATATTAGCAGCTATGTTAAACATTTGCACCACCCCTTGCTGGGAGAAATCACAGAAAATCTCAGTAGGCAAATCACTTCCATCAGTACTAACAAGGTGATCACAATCAGTACAGTGTGGGCTGAAAAAATCAACCAGGGTAAAAAGTTTAAGAAATGGTTCACATGCCATAATGATACAGTATTTGGAAGGCTCCCCCACCGAGGAAGCTCTGAGACTCAAAATCCCTGCCCCAGGCACCCGGGGATGCTGGTCTCAGCCACCAGTTGTTGTTACTCCCATTGAAGCTGAAGGTCAGCAGCAGTCCCTGTGAGAAAACAAACAACCACAGCTTGTACTGTCCAACCACACAGAGCCCTCATTTGTTATGAACCCACTCTAAAGGGATCCACAAAGCTTGACCCTCAAGGGCAACCAAACAAAAAAATCTTCAAAAGATAATGCTGGAAATGAAAATTCAATTTTTGTTGTACAGTAGACATTTCAGAGCTGAAAAGAATTTAAGTGCCTGACAACTTGCTTACTTTTTCTCCAGATGAAAAATGCTGTTGCTCCCTCCAAACCTTTCCTTTTTTACAGCCATTGGCCTTCATGGCTGCAACAACATGAGCAACAGACAGAGATAGATTTAAGAGAAAAACAAAGTACAAAAACAGCCTGGAAACCAGCTGCACTTTACATAGGCAGACAAAATATATATGAAGAAAAATTTCTCATTCTGCTGCTCCCCAGGAAAAGAAGTGGAGAGCAATTGGCACACTTTGAGCTACAGTGAAGAACAAATATTTGAGACTTGGTTCTTGGGTGTGCAGAGTACTCACAGTGCCTGATAAAATTATTTTAACTTTTCACCAGTTCTCACTTCACTCTGGCATTTATTTGAAGAAGAATTTATTTTTATATACAGGTTTTGAAACTCAAAAATAGTATGAAAAAAACAATGCTTTAACAAAATTAAGGCTTGAATTACATCAATATGTAGTCTTATTTTCAAGAAATTCAGCCAGCACCCCTGACTGTGATGCCTGGAGAACTTAAGGCATCAACTGTAACTGTGTGTGTTGAGTCAATGATGCTACTTTTTCTGTTTTAAAGTCTTTTCCAAATTACTAGGAAATCTTTGAACAAAAGATGCAATGAAACATTTTATGTGTCATGAACAGTCTCTTCTCAGACAGCAAGTGTTCCACCTTGTGTTTAACCTTCTGCCTGCTGTCTGGCCACAGCCCCTTCTAAGAGAGGGCACCAGATACAGCTATATATGACCAGCCAAGGTATTCCTGTACTCCACTCATCCACAGTACTGAGCCACACTGAATCAGTCCTCCTCCACAGGTGGAGCAGAGTGTGTGCATATCTCTTCCAGCAATTAAAATTTCTAAGGGAAAGCAGCCAAGTATAGCAGACAGAGGTTAAAAGCTTTAGAGGGAAGCCATGAGCCAGTAGGTTAAATGGATTTGATTCTCTATTCTTTGCACATTCCCCTAGTTAGCATATTTACCATCTGATCTGAGTCTTTCCACTGCATTAGCACCCTGTGATCTCCCCTGAGCTTTCTCAAGATCTTAAATGCCTCATCCCTAAGTCTTGAAATGGGAAGCTGAAGAATCCATGGAAAATCCTTCACTTTTTGTAAAAGTAACTGGACCATGAATTAATTCTCTGAGAGCCTCTTAATCTACAAGAGAATTTACACCAGGCAACACTTGGACAGTGGACAATTTGAACTCTAAACCTGGGGATGACAGAGCTCAGCCCAGCTCCTCTGATTTACCAAAGACAATCCAAATCTGGGCTGAGGAGCTCCTCCTGATTGTGTGGAACAGAGCAGTAAATGTTTGCATGCAAAATAATAAATTTTAGGGTGAGTAGAACAAATGATGCAGGGGCATTTTTTACAACCATTCATGTAGTACAGCAGAACATTAGCTACAGAAATTAGTAGTCATTAGTCAAAATGATAGTGTGAGTGTATTAGGCTTTGTTAATCTTTATTAGTCTCTAAACAAACAGCATAAAAACATCACTTGCAGGTACAACCTCTAGTTTTTGATTAAACAGAGTGCTGTATTTCAGAAAAAAAAACCCTCAAGGCTGACTTCTGCTCTTCCTGTGGGCTTTTAAAGCAAATAGAAATATCCTGAAAAGAAGAACTGAACTATGTTTTCTCACTAAATGAATGGATATAGAGACAGGTTGATGACCTTTCCCTGCATTTCCTGTGCTTAGATTGTTGGCCCAAAGGTTGATGAACACCTTCTAGTGCTGAGATTTTCAAGATCAAGCAGTGAACTTGTTCCCACTGATCTTAACAAAACATCTGCAGCCAAAACGCCTGGACAGCTTTCAGAATTTCAAGCAATACCTCTCTGACTAAAGATTCACCTTTAAAGACTCTGGTTGAGATTTAAAAATACATATCCTTTGCTGTGGAAATATCCAAGCTACATCAAAATCAGTGGAAATATGAAAATGCCATTTACTCAAGATCTATACTTTAGCACTTAAGGTTACAACATCCTTTTCATAAGTATCCCATCATTAGATATTCTGACTACCCACAACTCCCGCTAATGACAGATAAAATTTCTGATCTCCACAGAATACTTAGCGATCAAGTATCAGCCAAACCACCTCTAAACAGCAAAAGTGAGAGAACAAGGATGCACAAAATCTGGGTTAGCTAAAACACCAGCCTGTGCTGCCAAGCACTTGGCAGGCAGAAGTGCTGGAACTGTGACATGCAGGGCAGCTGATGTGGCTCATCTAGCTGCTTTATATCACACCCATCCTTCCCACATTTGCTGATACAAACTTTTTGCATTTCCCTTCAACACCTCCAGAGAACAGCACAGCAGCAGCTGCTGCATTGTGTAACTAATACCCCATCTGATCCCAGAGGACAGCTTCATCTTAACATGGTGACAGTTACACTCCCTTCAAACCCCTGGAAAATCCTAATTCTGCACTACCCAGAGATAACTGCTAAATGCCAGCACCAAATCCCTCTACATAGCACTTGGCATTCAATGTCCTACCTTCGCCAGGTGTGTTCTCACAGCGAAGCATAACTGGCAGTGATGCCTGCTGCTCATAAAATGTGTATTTGTTATCTCTCCCTATGTATTTATGTGCATGTACACCTTGCATACGTAACCCCGAGAGCCTGTCCTAACCTATCAAACACTGTGGTAGGAGCAGGAGGCGGGGAAAAAAAGCATATTGAGCAACAACAGAAAATTTCTGGAGATCTCAATGCAAAATATTCCACGGAAGACATGAAAGAACAGGCCAGCCCATCATGCAGGCTATCTTTTGACTCACCCATTGCTTCAGTGGATGGCAGTTTCCTTGTTTAATTTGTCACTCGATTATTCAAAGCACAAAACTCCACGTCTCTCCATAAATCATTGACAAGGTAAAACAGATGTGTTCAACTGTGTCTTAATACATTTCAACAGGACTTCTGCTTTCAGGTAAGAAAAAGTTCAGAGAGGAAATACTCTCAAACCCTCCATATTTTCTCAGAACAGACGGGGACATGACACTTCATCAATCAGTTAATCATATCAATTCCTACAAAGAACATTTATGTAAGTTTGATGGACGTGTATGCTCTATGGCAGAGACAGACAAAATCACTCAAGAGTTATAGACCAAGCTTACACACTGCAAGGATGGTGAAAGGCTCAGAGGATTTTTCTTTCCAGCAGTGTTACAGACATCACATCAGTCAGGTCTCCTGTGTGCAATACAAGCAGCTTTCTTTGCCAAACAAATCTAAGGAGGGAGCTCTCTGTAAGCAACAATGCTTCCCACTCACTGGATGTACATTATCCAGACCCACATTCCCCATTTTTGGTGGCACTTCTGGGTACCAGCACTTCGTTCCATCTCAGGCAATGAGGGGCTAAGAGCAGTATAGGGAGGGTAGGGAAAAGGACTGTGTTTGTGTGTGTGCGTGTGAGTGTACCGAGACACCCGAAAAATGGTAGGAGAAAAGTAATGGGACATATTTCAGAGAATATGAAGGAGCAGTGAGGGCAGGAGAGGAAGGCAGCAGCTTTCTGAGTTGCAAAGGCAAAGCAGTAAGTGAGAAAAGGAATAGACTATGCTGGAGACAATTTTATGTCTCCACACAGGCCATGTGGCACCAGCAGGCAGCTGAGAATTTTGATCCAGCTGAACCAGAGGAAACTCTCCCTCCCTTACTTATCAAATTCATATATTTGATTTAATTCTGGGGGCCTGCTGCGCCTTCCTCTCCCTGCTTTCCTTTCCCACAGCCCTCGTTATTCCCTGTTGAACCCATCAGCACCTGAACTTTTGACACCGTCTACTCAGGTTTCATACTTGGTAATGGACAAACAGTGGCGGTAACTGCACTGGCAGGAAGTTAATTTTACTGAACTACACTGCTCCCACAAGCTTCTTGAAACTGCCGAGGTGTTATGGTCTGACTCACCACATCTTTTCAGATTCTGTGACTTCAATATCCCCATCCTCAGATGATCTTTTGTAGGAAGTAAACCTGTCCAACCCTAAGGCTGCAGATAAGCAAACATATTTGTCACCGTTTCACAAGTTTCAGTTATACAACATTGTGTTTTGCCTCCAAAGACCCAGGTTTCATTTTGTGTGTAAATACTACGTGACATAGTTCAGCCTCACTGACTTTCAGCAAAGTGGAAGTGAATCTCTTCCAACAAGCATCTCTCTCCTGGTCAAGGCAAGCACCCAGCTAAGTGGCTGCTAGCCCTGTTACCAACAGCAGGGACACGACTGAGAAACTACAGAACTAAAAGTTAAATCCATTGTATCTTTAAAAATCAAGAAAAATTATATAGTAGAGGACTGTAGCAGACCCCCACCAGTATCAGGTAGAGGTAGTTCTCAGTATTGCAGTACAGTGGCTTCTGTGCAGGGCAGTCAAGGGAGAGTTTCTACACTTTAAAAATGTAACTTACTAAAAAAAAAAAACCAACTTAGTAAAGATTGCACCATAAGACCAATCTATCCAACAGAAAACCATCCATTAAGACACCTCTAACTAAGAAATTAAAAGGAATAAATAATAAAAACAGACGAAAGCTTTCAGTTTGATTCTGGCAGAAATAAAAAATTATACTGTAAACTTCCTTTCCTAATTTTACTTCCCTTTGTTTTTGGCAAGCTCTGTACCTCAAGGTAAAGATAGCTGTTGAGGAAGTCAGGCTCAAATAGCTGAAAAAACAGACTGAAAAATAAATAAAAATGTGCAATGTTTGTGAGACACCTATAGAAAGTCTATAAAGACTGTCAAGTTTCATTCTGATCTGTCCTGGAGATAATGAATCCACAGAAAAGGGCCTCTCTTCCAAGAGAGGCAAGGCAAAGAAATTTTGGTTTTTTGCTATTTAGCCATCAGGTATGCATGATTTGTGCAATTTAATGATTAATATCCTCACCTTGTAAATGGGGAACAATTGTGTTTCTGCCATACCTGTGGCAGTCAGCTCCCGCAGCCTGCACAACAGAAACCTTGCTTTGCTCCCCATTGCTGCATTCAGGAAGGGCACCAAGGTGGTCTGGGGAGATTTACAATCAAAGGCTTCCTGGCCTGAGCTTTACTGAGCTCTGAGGATAACACAAGCAAGCACCAAAGAGACTCCATATATAGCCGTAGAAATGCCAGAGTGCCATTGGAGAAGCACAGCCCTTAAATGGCAGAACTATCTAGAAGATGAAAGCAAGTTTTTTTCCGACAAAATGAGTAATTCTTGCCAAAACATGTTGAATTCTATGGGGCCTTTCATTTTCAGGAGTTTTCACTGGAAAGGAGTCATCAAATTCTTAAAGCCAAAAGCCTCTATTTATAAAACTAAAGAAATAAGGGAAACTGGTCTTAAGGAGGCTTCAAAACATCAGTTCCACTTTCAGCTCTAGGCATTGCCAGGAAAGCAGAGAAGTCTGATCTTCAGAAAATACAGTCAGCCCGCTATGTTCTTCCAGAAAAAGAAAACTGGTCCCTGGAGTTATTGCTTGCACCTTCTGGGTCAGGCCATGACAGAGAGCATACGAGTGCCTGGGATCACACGATGGGAGCAAGGAAAGTGTCATCTCCTGCAGTAGAAGGCATAGGTCCTGGATCACTGTTCAGGCATACAGGGCCACACAGTCTCCATTTTTCCCCCTCCTGTAGAAAACGAGAAAAGAGTTTTAATGCAGAGCTGCCTCTGCTTATGCAAGGTCTGGGCTTCTCCCAGCTATAAATGGCTGGGAAAGGGCAGGAACTGCCACATGGCAGGACTGCTTCCAAAACTGCCTCTTGCCACATTTTTTGGACCCGTGGGATGGACAAAAGTGAAAAACCCTTTAGGAGATATTTTAGGAAAAAAATCCTGCTTTATCCCAGCTGCACAGTGGAGATGAGGAGAGCCTGGCAGTGGAGCTAGTCAGCCCCAAGGAGATGCCGAGCGCCAGGCTACTCCTGGAAAACCTATGTGGCTGTCCTGTCAACCCTTATGGCTAGAGGAATAAAGAATTTGGGACAGTAGACAATTTGCTCAGATGGAGAGCTTCTCCAGGCACAACCAGAGCCACAAGCCCCACAAAGTGAGGGGAGGAGTGCAGCCCAGTCATTGGGCAGGGGAAAGAATAGTCTAAGCGACAACTGAGAGTGTACCTCATCAATGTGTATAAATATCTAAATTTCTGTCAAGGGGATGGAGCCGGGCTCTTCTTAGTGGCGCCAAGCGGCAATGGGTAGAAACTGACGCACAGTAAATTCCACCTGAGTATGAGGAAGAACTTTATTGAGCCGATGACCACACCTGGGATAGATTGTCCAGAAAGGCTGCAGAGGGTCCCTCACTGGAGTGTTCCACAACCATCTTATGACACTCCTGTGCCATGCACTGCGGGATGACCCTGCTTCAGCAGGGAGCTTGGAACAGATGACCCACTGTGGCCTCTTCCAACCTGACCCATGCTATGATAGGCTGGAGACCCAGAAGAGGCTGGCAGTGCTCAGGAAAAGCCGGCTCCGTCAGATTTGCACTGGCACGGTTCATTTCAGTGGATTTTTTTAGGTGTATTTGGAAGCACGGCGAGAAAGGAAATAAAATGGCGGCCGGGCTGAGAATCCCTCCAACGGCCCCCAGGGGGCGCGGGAAGACCCGGCCCCCCGCTGTCCGACATGGCGGCACCCGGTGCGGCTTCACCCGCCGGGGAGAACGGGCGGCG